TTTTTTTATTAATCATTCAGTTAAACAACCATTTTGTCCGCCCCTAACAGAAAGTGTACATTCGCTCCTGTCTCTGTCTGTGAGTTTAGGGCGCGAGTGGGTGATACTCGCTCAGAGCAGGAAATGCTGTAAGCTACAGTGTCATTTCTCTGACACCCCCATCACTGCTGACAGCTCTGCGCCCTTTAGTACGGAGACCCTGAAACAGAAACCAGAGATTTAAAAAAAAAAAGAAAAAAAAAAGAAGGACACATGCATGCCACGGTAATTGCTATTGCTGATGCTACCCCACTCAACGGACAAGATTCCTTCAATCTTCACCACTCATCGTCCGATCCCAGAAATCAGAGTTTAAGAATTCCTAACCATGGTTAATATCTGGGCTTCTGTCTTGAGTTAAGAGTGTGTCTGTGCCTCTGTTGTGTTTTTGTTCAGGTTCTCTCACAGGCCACAATTCTTTCCCTCTTCTTCCTCTTCTTCGGTTGCTTAATGTTATTGTTATTATCAGTAGATAGAAGTTGGTAGATTTATTGATAGGTTTCGATTTAGATAAGTTTCTATTTTTAGGAAATTCTGAATTCTCAGATCTACGGATTTTAATCGTTTTGTTTCTGGTTATTTCTTTCGCAGATGTATTTGTTTTCAGGATGATCCTTGTACAGAGAACATTTTCCTTCAGCTTCTCGGGAAATTTTCAGTTTTTTTTTTCTTTTCTTTTTTCTTTTTTTTTCACTTCAATTCTTGACAGAGATATGGGGTTTTCGTTAATTTACTAGTTAAAATTTCTCCAGATCTGTTCTCATTTCACCAAGTTTTCTTGCTGTTCAGCTTAGCAAAATCTTCAAAATTTTTTTTTTTTTTTTTTTTTTTCACTTCAATTCTTGACAGAGATATGGGGTTTTCGTTAATTTACTAGTTAAAAATTCTCCAGATCTGTTCTCATTTCACCAAGTTTTCTTGCTGTTCAGCTTAGCAAAATCTTCAAATTTTTTTTTTTTTTTTTTTATGTCCAGGAAAGTAAATATAAGAAGAAAGGATGAATTATTTCCCTGACGAAGTTCTAGAACACGTTTTCAAT